CTGAGCTGGGTTTCTTCCACTTGCCACTGAATAAGGATGAAGTGAGCACCCTGAAGAACCTCCATAAATATTAGTTCTCTCAATCTTCCTCCTTAAAATGACCACTTCTCGTTAACCTCACCAACCTATCAGTTGGCATGTAAGCCATGCCCCTCCGGCTGCTCCGATTTCCTCCCTATTCCTTATATTCAGTGACTATTGCTCTGTAACGAAAGGATTATGGATTCCCATTCATAATGAGTTTCACACTCAAGGCAACTTCGTAGAAATTAGCTCATTCCTTCTTCATGGACCCATTAAAGTTGGGTAAAGGTAGCAATCCTTGTACCCATCAGACAGATGAGAAAACAGAGGCACAGAGACACAAAGCAGTTTGCCTCATTAACAATCAGCAAGTCCAAATCGGAATTGAGATTCTTCCCACTGCAGCCCAACTGGAGAGGCACAGACGGGTGGGTCCTAATTCGGCAGGCCACATCATAAACATCCATTCCCCAACCCTCAACCTTACAGGTACCTGGTCATTTTAGCCAAATAAGCTCCATCAGATTGGGTTCCCGGATAAAATACAGGAGGCCCATTTAAATTTGAATTTCAGATAAATAATTTTTTTTTTTTTTTTTTTTTTTAGTATAAGCATGACCTAAATAGTGCACGGGACATACTTATACTAAAAAATCATCCACTGCTTAATTGGATGTCCTGTGGTTTTATTTGCTAAATGTGACAAGCTGTATCAGATGTTCTCCCAGTAGACCAGATAAGGGGTGTAAGTTGCAATTTCTTTGCAAAGTCAGACTTTTCCTACACGGATCCCCAAACACTGCTATTCAGCACAGAGCGTAACTCTAATGTTTGATACTCGGGTAGGGTTTGATGTCATTTGCTATTGTAACTAGGATCCAGTCTTACCCTATTATTCATCCCTCTTTCTAAGAGCTTCCTGGAAGGTCTGTTCATGCAAGGAATAATGGTAAAATGGGACTCAGGTGATCTTGGACTCTGAGCAATCAGATTAGCAGTCTGGCTGCCCTGGGAACAGAGGGGGCTGCCGAAGAAGGGACAGGCAGAGGGAGCTGAACCAGAAAGAAGGAGAGCGCATGACTGGCTATTAACTTTCGATACTGTCTCTAGTCCGGTTTGAAGGAACCCAGTCAGTCGTCTCTTCTGGAACACAGAACTGAGAACATGTAAATTTGGAAGCTGTGAGGTAAACCAAAGTGGGTCATAAAATCAGGGAGAAAGCTAGGCTACAAAAGGAGGAGGAGAAAGCCGGTGTGCAAGGAGGAGTAGAAAAAAGGGCCTGTCATTCTCTTGGCTCCTCCTCCTCCAGTTCTCGCTCCTGCTGCCTGGCTAGCTGCATTTCCTTTTCCAAAAACTTCAGCTAAGTTCCCCCTCTGTGCCTGAGCTAGCTTGGGTGGGTTTCTGTTACTTATACCCACTCTGTCACTTACTTCCTTAACTAAGAGGAAAACAACCAAATAAAGAAGCAAGGTCCCAGTTCAGTTCAGTTCATTGCAATTTATTTAATTTAAAAATAAAAACAGAAACAAAACAAAACCAAAAAACAAAACAAAAAAAAAAAACAAAACAAAACAGAAAACAAAACAAAAGTCAGTTTCCAATGAAAATACAAACACTTTGGGTGGTTATCCAGCTTTTTCCCCCCTGTAGGCTGTTCTGGGCTCAAACCAATCAAATGAACAAAAACCAATTTTGACTGGAGCCATAAAGCATGTTGCACCAATTAAATTACACCAATATATTATTATAATACCTTTGAAATGTCTTTCAGACCAATAAATAAAAAAAAGACAAATTCAAATAAAAAAGTCAACTTTTTATTACCAAAACAAAAAAAAATAGAAATTAAATAAAAGTCACAACACGGATTTAAAAAAAAAAAAAAAATGTGCAGTCAAGTTTTTCTCTCTCTCTCTCTCTTTTTTTTCTTCTAGGAATGATACCATGCCAGTAAATCCCTACAGAACATTTCCAGTTTGGCAATAAGCAGTCAGTTGATCATTCACATTTGTACTCAAGACAGCAGGCCAGGGCGACACTCCCCTGAATTTCCCCCTGGAAAGTGCTCCCCATCATCTGAAGAAGCAGCACCTTATAACAGGGATGGAAAGCCAGGGAGCACTTAGCATTTTCATTTCGCCTAGGGTCTTGAAGCACTTCCTGAAAACTGATCATGCCTTAAAATTTACCTGTAAAAAGAAGTATAATTCTACTCCTTTGGCAGATGTGTAAACTAAGACACAGAAAGGCCCACAGAGGCCAGGAAAGGACCAGGAGAGCTTACATGGAATCTCCTGCTTGGTCCACCAGGTCATAAAAGTGTCTCTCACTTGTAATTCCATGGAAATGAATTAAGCATGACTTCCTTGGTTGGGGATTGGCTGGTAGGGATGATAGCACTTAATCAGGAAGCAGGGAGCTACATGTCAGGGCTTTTCTCTCTAGACCAGGTTTTTCCTTGAAAGGACAGAGTCAACACAGTATGGAGAATCAGAGGATGTTAGCAGAACGTCAGAAGCAGGCAGGGGGCCTGAGAGATGGGCTAGTCCCCCCCAACCCCCACCAGCCCTCATTAAAGGGAAAACTTAGCTTCCCAAACACTGCAGGTGCCTCAGGCCACCAGCTAGTTAGCAGCACACCAGGACTCAACTCAGACCCTCGGCCTCTGAGTGGAGGACTGTCTTTGCCACAATCCACTGTCTGGGTTGGTGGACAAAAGAGAACATGCACGTGTGGGGTTTTTTGGGGGGAAGGGGAGAAATAGAATGATTTTCCTTAATAGTGTCATTTTAGAAGGATGGAAAATACTAAACAGACACAATCATTTGGCAAAAGGAAAAAACATATCACCCAGTAGGGAGGTGTTATACCTTAGGCATATTGACAGCTACCCACTTGGCCAGTTGCCACGCATGCGGGACCAGCAGTGTGGCAATACAGGCTGTCCAGAACAGATTACATAAAATGAGACAAGGAATGGGGAGCTGGGAGGCTGCAGGATGCCCTCCACACACCCACACTTCCCACACACACAATTTGCTATCTACAGATTTTTTTTCCCTTTGAACCTATATTGGAGCTCAGGAAGGAGGTGCAATTGAAAGAAAGAAAATGGAGAAGCTTCCCATAACACACCACTCAGCTCGACCTGAAGGCATGCACAAAGCCACACCCCCAGGGCTGGTGACAAGGGGGAGAAACGGAGCCATCTCCTTAGGAAAAGGGCAGTTTCACTCCAATGAATGTTCTCAGTGCCTTACGGTGAATTCTTTCACATCTCCCTGTAACTGTTTGTTGTCTGTTGGTTTTCCCAAAAATAACCCCCCCTCCAAGACTAGTCCTCCTTATATATCTTTGCGGGTAGCAGAGGTCGACCGTCTTGAAACAAGGCTTTCAATTTGCCCGGGCCAGTAGGATCTGAAGTCATCCCAGATTCCCCAATGAGATCATTAATTCCAAACCCAGTATCTGAAGATGTCCCATTGTGGGACTGACATCTTATCACCTGTAATCTGGGTGTCTAGAAGTTGAATACCTAGTTATATTACTTTTTATGATAAGAGTCCTGCTATACCTCTTTCCTGCCTCCTCCAGAACCATCTGGATGGCTTCTTGGGAAATGTTCCCTCTTCTGTATGCTTCCTCCCAACCCACTGTGCTCTTTCAACACCTTATTCATTTGAATGGGTGGAACTTTCCTTTCCCCCAGAGTCTAGGACTTCAAACCCATGACAGAATCCCTAGATGTGAGGGGAGCACCTTATGCCTACCTTTCCTTTCCTCATCCAAATATCCCACCTACACACTAACGCCCTAGAAGCAAACTCACCTGCCTCTGCGGATTCTACACTTGGTGGATGGGGAAACCGTTTGCTATTAGTAAACAGGGTAAATGGTTGAGCCAGTTACTCCTTGGAGACTGTGGACAGCGTCACATCTGATTCATGCAGGTGAGAACCCAAGAGGCAGCATTCCAGTTAATAGTGAGATGTTAAAGAAATCGACAAGTTGCCCCCTTGCTGGTGTGGATCAATTTCCATTCATCTGCACGAAGACCACAGAGGGTCCCAAGCTCTGTTACACACCAGAGTTTTGACCTCTGACACCACCATTCTTTTCCCTGTCCATCCTCGGGAGGTTGTGCTGAAGAGCAAGGCAGACATCAGGAAAGAAGTGGGAGACAGCAAAAAGCCCCAAAATCACCACGGGCTGACTCTTAAGTCCTTAGCGGTGTTCAGAGCATTCTCTCTCTGCCCGAGACCCTGTCTTCCATTCCAGGTAGAGTAGCAAATTAACAAAGGCCACACGACCGGCATGAAAGACAAGCATAGATCCCACAGGATGCCTCAACCCAACACTTTCAGGGCTTAGCCATGTCAAGGATGGCCACCGCGTGGCATGAGCGCTACCGCCCCCCTTCCCTTTCCCAAGGCAGCCATTGCTATTCAATCACAGCACTCCCTCCCATGCGCCTAGGCAACTCACACCAGCACACCCAGCAGCCACTATCAATCGATCACCGATTCAAGTTCAGGTGGCTGAAATCTACTTGCCAACCCCACGCAGTCAGACCAAGCCTGCTCATGTGAGGAGGGAAGAAGCAAGTTCTGAGCTCATCCAAGGCAGACGGCCCCAGTCTCTCTTGCCCTTCCTCCAGAAGCATTTGGACAACTTTTAGGGATGTGTTCCCTCTCCCATATGCTTCCTCCCCACCCTCTTCGTGCTGGCCAACACCACCTCCCCTGGACAGCTGGTCCTCTAGGAGGTGCCACAAAGTAAATGCCAATTAAGACCCAAATTCTGACTGGCAGTTGGCAGGACTGGCAGAGAGCCCACTTCTCCCTTTCAGGTGCTGGCTCAAGGCTGCAAATTGGGCCAACCAGGATGGCACCAATCCTTTTTCAGTCTATTGTCACAGGCCAGCAAAGAGGTAACCAGCTCACTAGCACGAGTCATTGCTCCCACGCCTCCCCCGAACCCACCCACAACCCAGCCCCACCACCCCCGGGGAGCTAGTTAAGCTTGTTGCAGATCTCCAGCGCTTTCTTGTAGACCTGAGTCACATCGTCCATGTCCATGAGGAGGGAGAAGCTGCTGTCTCCCAGCCGGTTCCGGTACCGCTTCAGGTACTGGGGTCGGGGCCGGTTCTGGAGCCCCTCAAAGTCCTGGATCTGGAGGAAGTTTTCAGCAGAGACGCAGCTGCGGATGCGCTGGCGGGCAGGGCGATTCTCCTGCAAATCCAGCAAGTCGAAGGAGTCGCTGGACAGGACGCTGTCGTCACTGATGACGCTGGAGGGCCGGCTGTAGCTCCGGGAGAGGCCCTCGGCGGGGACGCCGGGCTCCAGCAAGGATTCCAGTGTGGGCATTTCAGGGCTGACGAGGGCCGGGTCCGTGGTCCCTGCTGAGTACTTGCTGCTGTGTTTCAAGATGCCCTTCCTGCGGCACGAGAGGCCGTGGGACGTCCCTCTGGTGGGGTCCGGGGGGCTGGGGGAAGGGAGGCCACTACCCAGCCCGTCGTTACTGTCCAACAGCTCTGAAGACTCGCTGCGCTCCGGGGACGAGTAGTAACCTGACTCTCTCTGCTGGGTCTTCTTCAAGATGCCCTTCTTGGGCATCGTGGCCGACTGCTTGGGGCTGAGCTTGCCCGGCACCTCTGCCTCGGGGGGGCTTGGGAGGGGCACGGCAGTCCGGACCAAGTCGGGCTCCATCTTGAAAGCAGAGGGTAGGGCAGGGCTCACGACGCCTTCGATGAAGCCGGTGCTGTGGGAGCGATGTTCACTGTTGCTTCGCTTCTTCAGGATCCCTTTGGGCCTCTTGGAACTCAGCTTGGATGGGCTCTCGGGCACCGAGTCCTGGCCGGACTGGGCAAAATCGTTCTCTTTCTTGGACTTTTTCAGGGACCGCTGCCGCTCCAGCATGACCTCGGAGGCCCCGGGCTTGGCCAGGCCCTTGATTTTGGCTTCGGCCTCAGCCTGCAGCCCCGTGGAACGGTGGTGCCAGTCGATGATGCGAGCCAAGAGCGGCGACTCGGAGTTGTGGAGCGCATCGCAGTCACAGACGCTGCTCTTGTAGCCCCAGTTCACCCACCAGTGGTTGGCGATGTCCTCGATGGTGGCCCGGCGATCGGGGTTCACCATCAGCATCCACCGAATGAGTCCTCGGGCGTCTGTGGCACAAGAGAAAAAGAACGATGCGTCACATGGAAGCCTTTGGCCTTGACGGGGCTGACGCTGCAGGGGTGAGGGGACACGCGCACTCGGGCGGGAGACCTGGTCCTGCCACACCAGGGAGCAGGAGCCAAAGCCTTCTAGACAGTACACGGAAAGCATCATCAGGACACAACCACAGGCCAGGGCACGGTCACACCCTGGCATGTTTTTCCACAGAAGCAAAGGAATGTCCTAGAACTACCGAGCTCTCCATCAACTCCGATCTTCATTAAATGGGGAAGGCCAGGTAACTGGAACAGATTCCAGACCCGACCCCAAGCAGGGCCCCACCATTCCTTCGGTGGATATTATTTTACCAAAAGGGAAAACAGAGGGAGGTGACCCTGGCTTTTCTGTAGTCCTCCAAGGTGGGTTTGTATAAACACGCAGTGCTCAAGGTAATGGGGAAAGTGTGTCGGCATGAAAAGGACGTCTAGGGCTGAGATGGTGAAAAAGAGGCTCCTTATCAAAAAGGGAAAGAGAGAAGGATGGCACACATGGGCAGTGAGAGGTGCCATCCCCAAGGCTGGCCTTCCCCCAGGCTTTTGCCGGGTCCTGAGACCCACGCCCAGTGAGCTCACTTCCTCTCCCTCTCTGACATAAGCTGTAGCCTACAGAGCCGTCAGCTCAGAGAGCTCATCTAGATCTGCTATCCGCTTACGGCCTGGCTGAGACATTCCATGTGCACATTTCGGCTGCCAGAGAATTAGGGGAAAGCCCCGAAGGGATGTTGAGGAGGCCACAGGAACCAACTGACTCTCACAGCTTATAAATTGACTTATAAGATTAAACTGTGCTCCCCCAATGGGAGGTGAATTATATCCTGGGAAGGCACCGCCTCCCCCTCAGCCACTTATGTGGGCTAATGAGTAGCTGGCAGGGGTCAGGCAATGAGATCAGGGGTGAGCTGCACCCCTGAAAAGTAACAAGATGCTCCTTCAGTCATTCAGTAAATATTTTCTAAATTCCTGCAGTGTGCCAGGAGCTGTGTTGGTACCGGTTGGGTCACCTGAAATTTCTCAAAAAACAACAAAAACAAAACAAAACAAAACAAACAAACAAACAAAAAACCCAGGCTGGCCTATTGAAAAAAAAAATGTGTATGCATATACATATATATGTGTGTGTGTGTGTATTCATTATTCACAGATTCTGTATTATAAATTCTCCTGCTCACTAAAATGTATTTGTAGCCCCAAAATCAATACCTGGGCACTCACTCTCCCTGTCATTTGTGTCCATTTGCAAAGTGGCAAAAAATTTGAGTCACCCCCGGCGTGCATGTATGTTCCCAGCCGAGGTCGAAGGAGGTGCCGCCTCCCTGCCTTCTTGTTTCCACTCTCATGCTGTAAACAGGTGTGCTTCTCACAGCCTGTATAGTCCATGTTTTTTTCACACTTTTGACCTTTTTGTTGGTGATTTCACTGTGTAAAATGGCCCAAGGTGCTAACTATGGTTCCCGAGTTCGAGAAGGCTGTGATATGCCTTACGGAGAAAGTGCATGCGTTAGATAGGCTTCGTTCAGGCATGAGTCACAGTGCTGTTGGCTGTGAGTCTGATGTGAATGAGTCAACGGGATGTTTTAAATGAGATGTCTCTGGACAGAAATATACATAACACAAGGTTATATATTGATCAGTTGACACCAGTACTGTGACCAGAGCTTGAGCCCTGTATTTGCCCCCGGCAGCAGTGCTGTCTCAGTATTCACTCACTCCGTGCTCATAGCAACTTTGTGAACTGTAACCACCGCAAAGAATGAGAAATCAGCTGTGCGTGTGCGCGCGTGGGCAGCATGTCTACATAGGAAGGTCTGCATTAACTACTTTCCAAAGATGACCATGTGGGCACACACGTTCCATACACACATCACACCCTCCTAGCAAGAGATGGAGCTTATGATCTTGGTTGCTTTGACCCATAGAGCGTGGCAGAAGTGACATTATCTGCCTGCCCAGCACAGAAGGCCTGGAAGCTTCTTCTTCCTCCACCTTAGAGCCCTGAGCTGCCATGGAAGAAGTCGAGGATTCCTCCTGGAGAGAGGGGCCTGGAGAGGCATCTCATGGAGAGGGAGCCCACGTGGAGGAGCACTGAGCATCTGTCCCCCAGTCAGACCCAGCCCAGCTACCATCTGAATGTCATGGTAGGAGCAACCCAAGCATGGCCGGAAGAGCTCCAGCCAGCCCAGGGAATGGAGAGACAGGGTACCTGGTTGTTCTTTAAACCACCAAGTTGATTCAGGGTGGTGGGGGAGGTCGGGCATAGAGTTGTTATAGCAATAAATACTGAATAATGAAACAGCGCCCATGGGCCATGCCCCTGGCTGGGGGCACAGTGGTGAAAAAGAGCAGTTGCCACCCTCATGGCACTGAGTCTAGTGAAGGTGGTTTATATAACCACGTAGACTAGAAAGGACTTCATGTGATATCTCTTCCAAAATGTGAATTTATAGTGGAGAAACTGAATCCACACGGTAAGGGACTTGCCCAAGTTCACACAGCAAGCACACAGGACTCCTAGCTTGCCTGGTGTAGAGGACATTTGTTCTAGAAATTCCATTTGGGGAGGTTTGGGCAAAGCAGCCTAGCAAGCCAGCTTTGCCAGAAAGCAAAAATCTGGAGAGAAAAAGAAGAGGAAAAGCAGGAGATTCCTTGCAGATGTTAAAACAGAAGCAAAAAAGTGTGAGCTACACACTCAAAAAAGGGTAATAAGCCAACCACTCCTGCTCAATCCCTGAGCCTCCGAGGGCACGCACCTGACGGCTGTGTAGGTTCCCGGTACTCTCCACTGCTGATCTGCCGAATGAGGTTTTTGTGATCGAAACCATCGAAGGGCATTGTTCCGTAAACGAGAGTGTAAAGCAACACGCCCAGGGCCCAGCTGTCCACCTGGAGCAGAGAGACGGGACATACAGGAGCTCAGAAGCAGGTTCCGGTATGCCTTCTGATCCATTAGCATCACAGACTGTGAGCAGCCACCCCCAACGACCCCAGGAACTGAATTTAGCACTCGGCGGACAGGTTCCCACCGCAGCCTGACAACTGATATGCGGTGCGGCTGTCGGCTGCTGCAGAGCCTCACCTTTCCCTCTCAGAGACCAGGAGTCCCAATGTGTGTAAGGACTTTCTTAAAAAGATTATCTCCTTGGATCCTCAGTATGATGTTGTGAAACAGGGAGAGCCTGGATTATTTTCAACCCCATCTGACAGATGGGAAGACTGGGGCACAGGAAAGCTAACTGATTTCTCCAGAGCCCCTCTCTGCCTCCAGGATGGGTGCCGGACTGGGACACGAGGCTGTTCACTCTAAATCCAGGCACCAGTGCCTTCCTGCACCTTCTTCAAATGGATCAGGGGCTGCCAACTCAAATGCTTACAAGAGCCAGGCATGCAACCAGGATGAACAAAGCAAGAGAAGAATGTGGGGTACAATGTGGGAGTGCATGGATCCACCTGACGGAGGCAGCCTCCCCTTGGCTAACTGCTGCCACACAGTAACGTAGGCCCGGCACTGCCAGATCCTTTCGGGAAGTCAGAAACCAGACTTTAATGCAAAATCTCCCAATTATTGAATGTTTGGTCCATTTTCTTTTAGAAAGACTAACATGGCCAGATAAAGTACGTTTGCTAGCCAGATCACAGGCCGCCAGCTTAGAACTCCAGAAAGAGATCATCAAAGATCAAAGAAACATTCATTACCTATGATAAATGGACAGTGTCAAGTTTCTAGAGTTTTGTAAATGGAATCCAATGTCCCTCCCTTACATTCTTATTTTAGAAAGACTTTCTCTTCACTGCAATTGGTAGAGGCCCTTGGCATCCTTCTCTTCACCCTCCAGCCCTGCCTTCAAACACTCTCCAACAGATAAATATTTGGAGGGAAACATTTCAACCCACTGAGCAGTTGCTATTTAAAGGATAAGGAGTGGATGAATCTCTCTGTAAAGAGAACCATCCTTTTAAAGAGCGTAATCACTCGCAACTCGCCCATTTTCAAAATAGCATTTCCACATACACATCTCTTACAGTGGTCCTGAGAGCTTTAAGCATATAAAGAAGTGCATTTCTCGTGCATTAGAAGGTGCGATTAAAACTGTATTTCCTTAGCGGAGCCTGGGTGGTTCAGTCGGTTGAACATCTGCCTCTTGGTTTTGGCTCAGGTCATGATCTCCTGGGTCATGGGATCAGGTCCTGCAGAGTCTGCTTGAGATTCTCTCTCTCCCTTTCCCTCTGCCCCTCCCACCTATGCTTTTTCTAAAATAAATGAATAAATCTTAAAAAAAAAAAAACCTATATTTCCTTAATCAAAGATACATGCTGTCTAAGATATATGCAAAAAGATATTCATTGCAGACTGAGGGGTTTTTTGCTTGTTTTTTTGGTTTGTTCTAACAGGGAAAAACTGAAAACAATCTGTCTAAATCTAGGGAATTGATTAAATTATGGTATATTCATAAAATAAAACATTATATCATCCTCAGAAACCACATTTTTTAGTAATAAGAAATTCAAAATATGTCACAATATAATTTTAAGTCAATAAAAGGCCACATGCACATATGTATACATGTATATATAATGATTGCCATTATTTTCTGAAATGCAGAGATCGACACTGGAAAAAAGTCTAAAAGAAAAGTGGCAAAAATATTAAGTGGTTATCTCTTGTGGGGGAAATTGCAGGCAACTTCATTTTCTAGATTTTTCAAACTTTCTCCCAGGTGTCTATATTGTGGCCTTTATAATCATATAAGGAAAAGCTTTCCCCACTTGCTTGCCTTTTTGTTTGTTTGAAGTATTTCTTATATCCAGTTCCTGCCCTCCCTCCTCCCTTTCCTCCCCGGCCCCCACCCCCATACACCCCAGCAACTTGCTCACCTCTGGCCCCCGGTAAGGTCTCCCATTGACAATCTCAGGAGAAGCATAGAGTGGGCTCCCACAAAAGGTTTGCAAGAACTTGTCCTTCTGGTACAGGTTGGAAAGCCCAAAGTCAGCAATCTGCAAAGAGAAGCAAGACCCAAAGAGGCCGGTTAGCATTCCAAGGGGTACCTACCTTGAATCATCTGAGCACTAGGGCACCTGGACGGGTCTGCCGGCTGGGTCACCATTTTTTCTCCAGTCCTTAGTCTCCATAAAAGAACCAGTCCACCCACAGAAATGGGCCAGTGACTCCCAGCTGCAATCTCTGGCAACCACAACAGATTCTGCTGGATCTGCACACTACATGCTCTCTTACTTACTCAAAACCACTCCCTGCATGGACTTGACCTTCACTTCAGTTTAGACCCACTCTGAGAAACAGCCTCAGAATCACAGCCTTGATGTTTCCGACGCACAGGACAGTACACAGCTATTAATCTGGGAAGTGCCCATCTGTAGCCCCCCTAAAATCACACTGCACCCACAGTGACTTTCAAAAAGTCACACTTTGGAAAACCGTGACCAGTGCCACTGATACCAACCCCTTCTCATCCACCCCCACTCTACCCAGAATTCTATTTTGCCAACCTCGTGAGCCCAGATGAAATCTAGGACCCCAGAGTCCTAGATTTTGAGTCACCATATATCAGCCCAAACTCTGCCATTAGCCATCTGGGTGACACGGAAACAGGTCCCTTAGCTACTCTGAGCCTCAGTTTGGCCACCAGAAAATGGGAACCCAGGATCCTTTCCTGTTCTGGACCGCAGTATTAGTGTGAGAAAAAAAAAATCGGGCGCCTGGGTGGCTCAGATGGTTAAGCGTCTGCTTTCAGCTCGGGTCATGAACCCAGGGTCCTGGGATCGAGCCCCACATCGGGCTCCTGGCTCAGCGGGGAGTCTGCTTCTCCCTCTCCCTCTGCCTCTCCCACTGCTCATGCTCTTTCTCTCTGTGTCTCTGTGTCTCAAATGAATAAATAAATTAAAAAAAAAAATCAATCACTCAAGATGAGACCATGAATGTAAACCTTTAAGTCTTCAAATTCCATACCAATGCTCTACCTAACACTGCTTCTCTTGTACTGCACACCCCTTGGAATCACTCTCTTCTCTCCTGGTTTCTTGAAGCATTTTATTCATTATCCTTTATGGTAGTACTCTTTCCTGTGTGAGTGTATGCGGGCGTGCATGTGTGTATGAATACATATAATCACATATATACACGTCACATATATACATATAATGTTACGTATGTACATATACACATACGTCACATATATAAACATACACACACACACACACACACATATATAAATAATAAATTCTCCTTGCCCATTAGACTGAGTCCCCTGAAGCAGGTAGCATGTTCCACATTTTCCCTCATCTTTGTGTCATCCACTGTTTAGCACCTGCCCCCGCCAAGAAATACTTGTCACTCGAACAGGCAAAATACTTTGGAAACCACAAGACAACTAATAGAATATGCAGAAGAAGAAGAAACTTAGTCACCACTTACTGAACCACCTCCAATGATCAGGCCCTGTTCTGAGCACTTCACCCTCTCTGATCTAAGCCCATTTACACAACAATGTGAATATACTTCACGCCACTGACCTGTACAGCTAAACATGGTTAAAATGGCAAATTTCACGTTCTGGCTATTTTGCAACCATTTTTTTAAGCAGACCAGACCACTTTAAGCAGAAAGTGGGGTTTAGGGAGATGTGGTGAGGCATCTCAGGAGAGCTGACTAGCAGGCAGCAATGTAAAGCTGTGCCTCCAAACCCTCACTCCAGCCTTGTGAGACGAGCCACTGTGGGCTTCTGCCATTCTCCGTGCAGATTTCCACTGGAGGCTTATAAATAGGCTGAGCAATTCACATGCCCAGCGAGCAGCCCAGCCCCGATGGTGCTGAGGCTCTGTTTTGAATGCAGCCCCAGAATAAGCCTATTTTCTAAAAGTCGCCCCTGAATGAATGAATGGAATGGCATTGAAAGCAGCTGGTGTATAACCAGCCTCAGAAAATGCATTCTCCAAGCTCGGATTGCATTTAATTGCCCGGAATTCCACTTTCTTAGCAAGGCCTCTGATTCACTTGCAGGAAGTCGGTTGGAAGCTTATGAAGTGTGCCCTGTCCATCAGAAAAGGAATGGAATGGCCACAGCCCGGGAGCACGTCCCAGGGCTTTGTCCTCGGCGAGCGCAGCCAAGGCAAGGCCTCAACACTGTGCGGGGCCCGGGGGCGGGGGGAGACATCCCGTTGCCACCCCGCGATGCGCGATGTCCGCGGCTTCCAAATACGCACACCCGTGAGAGGCACCCATCACCGCGGCGTGCAAATCCCTGAATGCACACACTCACGTCGGAGCGCTCCCAGTCTGGGCACGCTTGCTCTCTCTGCAGCCGTCCTGAGAAGCGTGTTTATGTTAGGGCCCACTCCCATCCCCACAGACTGATGTTTATTAGCCTCTCCCAGTAAAACTGTCATTTGCCACTGACAGAAGATTCATAGAAATGTAGATTAGTCTGTGTTCTTGGCACTTCAGTGGAAAAGAAATATTAATCAACACACACACACACACAGAGTTCTCAAACCTAGAACCACCTAAACTCGGGCGGCAGCTCTAAGATTTCACACCCTATGGAGCCTCTATCGACCAGAAGAGCAGGAATGGCCACTGGGTATAAAAACTTCTCAAAGCCTCAATTTCTCATCTGTAAAGTGGAAGTAGGAAGAGCACTGACTGCCGCAGTGTTGTAGTGAAAATTAAATGATGGAAAGTAGGTAAAATGCTTGGAACAGTCACTGGCACAGAAAAATTGGCCTCGAGAAATCTTTGCTTCCCACCCTTAAATCCGTAATAGTAGCTTTATCAACCTCACGATTCTCAAAACAACACTGGTTTTTCCATTTCAGGTAATTATTTTAAAGTTTCTTTCTCAAATAAATATACTTTTTATTTTTTTTAAAGATTTTTTATTTATTTATTTGAGAGAGAGAATGAGATAGAGAGAGCATGAGAGGGGGGAGGGTCCGAGGGAGAAGCAGGCTCCCCGCCAAGCAGGGAGCCCGATGCGGGACTCGATCCCGGGACTCCAGGATCATGACCTGAGCTGAAGGCAGTCGCTTAACCAACTGAGCCACTCAGGTGCCCCATAAATATACTTTTTAGAAAGGAACTGAACTAAATACAAATATTAAGTAAAAGAACGCAGAAGGTTCGAGGGAAAGGTGAAAGCCAAGGAGACAGTGAAAGAAGAGAAATTTGGGAACTTTGAAAAAGCTGAAATTGGGGAAACAGTGATTTTAAACATAATAAAACAAAAATAAGTGAATGAAAGTCATACTTTGCTGACACATAGGTAACCTCTGGAGAAAGGTAACTACTCTGCATTTTTGCTAATGATGGGATTGTCCCCTGCCTGCTACGGGTTCTCAATCATGTCCCCACACAGGGCTGATACCCCATTCAGCCTTGGCTCTGGAAAGGAATCTGAGAAGCCAACATTCAGGTCCTTAATTTTTGGAGTTTTTGTTATTACCAAGCCGTTGTAGAGGTGTGCACTGCTGGATAAAAATCAGAGTTAGATAGACAAAGTAGGAAGTGATTCTTCACATCTCCAAACAATTAGCCTCACTACGACACGGATGCACCATGAAGACGCCGAGCTAAGTGAAGTAAGCCAGACGCAAAAGGATAAATATTCCATGGGTCCACTTCTCCGCGGTACCTAAAGGGGGGTTAACCTCAGATCTCTGTGAATAATCGCTGTGAGCTCACCGGATGAAAAAGGAAGTATCCGGTTGCTAGTGGGTAAACGCTGGGGGAAAACACTCATGAGGTCGATAATGTAAGTGAAGGGCTGATGGTCTTTTGCAGTGTCTGAGAGGAAGTACAGTGGGCTGGACAGATCAGAAGAACCTGGGGCTAGCCTTGGACTTGGCCCTCCTGGGTGATGGGCGGGCCCTGCCAAGTCACTCAATCTCCTCATCTGCAAAGTGGGAATAATCACAGAACCCACCTCAAAAGCTGTGTGGGGACTGAAGAACAGGGATGAAAAGCCCTTGGAACAGTCCCCGTACCAGCTGATTCTAGATGACAGCAATTATGACACTGCTGGTGGTTCGGTCTCTTAACAATTGTTTGCTAAGAGCCAGTGCCCACCCCAGAGCCCAGAGGAATTATCGTCACCCACTTCTGGAATAGGCATGCCCAGAGTGAGAGGCTGCACCGCACGATGGGAGAAGTAAAGGATGCAGGGTTTGAGGGTTTGGGTTCAAATCCCAGCCCTACCTCTTACCAGCACTGAACTTAGGCAGTTAATTAATCCTTCCCTGTTCCACTGAGGTCCGTGGACCAGCAGCTTCGGTACCAGCTGGGAAATGCTCGACCCCAAGCCATCTGGGGAAGCTCTTCACTGAGGGCACCTCCAGGAAGGAGCCTCTCAGGGGACCCCAGTGAGCAACCTGTCACGACTCACCACTCATTCGACTCGGGCATCCCTACGGGGGTGCTCTGGCCACCACGACACAGGCAGCCTGGCCATCGGCCACCATCAGCACTTGGAGAGTCCCTCCCGGGAACGGCCGTCTGCAAGCTGCCTATAGACAAGGTAAGGCAGACTGAAGCAAGGGCCAAAAACGTGCCCTCGTGTGATGCTCTCTTAGATTTGGGGCAAATTTGGGTGGTAGCAGTAGAGGGTAGAATTTATCAGGTGCCTGGCCCTTAGAGTCGAATGGCCTTAAGTTTGCAGCCAGCCCCATTGCTAATATTAGCTGCAGGAACCTCCTCATCCATAAAATGGGGGATAATCCGAGCCACCCCGGTGGAGAGAGTCTGAGATCCAGATGAGATAAGGCACATGGAAGGTCTGGCATAGGACTCTGGCTTCTAGCAGAGGCTCAGGAAAGGTTACTTCCATTTTCCAGCCTCCATGCCCTATTCCTGTGCTTGCTGCTCCTTCCCTGTAGAAGGCTGTCAGCACATTTCTTTCTGTCAAACTCCTACCCATCCTTCAAAACCAAGTTCAATCACCACTGCCCCAGTAAAGGCTTTTTGGTCCGTTTATAGTTAACAGACCCCCCACTTCCTGCTTAATGCTTCCAGAATACTACACAGGGCACTATGAGGCACATAGAAGGGCCATCTGGCCCTGCCGAGAAAGGAGGATCAGGGAAGGCTTCCTGGAAGAAGAGGCATTCAAGCTGAGACTGAAAGGAGAGGCAGGCAAAGAGCAGTGGGAAGAGCATACCAAGCACAGGGATCCATGTGTGCAAAAGCCAGGAAGCCAGAGAGAGCTCAGTGGATTTGAGGAGTGTGAGTCCTACGCAAGTTGTTTTCTCTGACCACCCTAGCTAAAAGCTCCTGCAAGCCTCCGCCCTCACTCTGCACGGATTCTCTTCGCCACCAGACAATTACATTCTGTATTTATTTGTCTGCTGCTTGTGTCCCCAAGTGGAACTCTAAGTCCACTAAGGCAGGTACCATATCTTCCTCACTCATCTCTATATCCTTCTCCTGGCCCCTTGTTACTGCTGGCTGAACAACTGCAAGATTCCGAGCCCCCTGACAAGGACCTGGAACGCCAGCATCCGGCGCAGGGCTAGGTGCATGGTAGGGACTTAGTAAATATCTGTGGTCGAGTATATCCTGCCCCCAGGAGATACCCAGTTTGCTGACTGCGTAAGTGCAGGAATAGAGGAGAGAATGCGGGCACGTGTGGATACACACGTGTACACAAACACATACATAAATGGATGAATGAACAAACAAACCGATGGGTTAATTAATGCACGAATGCAGAGTTCTCACACGCATATAATCAAAGCCCAGGGGCCATATCCCAAGCTGCCCTGTTTGGCCTTGTTCAGCCTCTGAGATTTCTAGCTCATCTTAGCCCTGGCCATTCAAAGCTGCTTTGCTTGTCCGCACCAGCAGCGATTCCATTGTCATCAGGGGCAACAGGCCATTTCCCCTCTGCCCCTCTCCTCTGAGCCCTGGGAGCTCACCAAATTCCCAGCCCTCTTTGAGGAGGCGAGCTGACCCCAGGGCTTGGACCTCTTCTTATTGTAAGACATTTTTACAGGACCCTTCTATGGGAATTGTCGGCATTCCATTCTCCCAGAGAGTGGGATGTGAATCTGGCCCATTTTTATTAATTGCAAATTAATGCTATGCTGGGTGTCTATTTTCGTAGACATAGGCTTACTCCGCAGAGGCTTTAGCAGGCTTCTCTGGAGTACGGAATGCAACCCAAAGAAGCACATTGCTCTCATTCTTTCTGCCAACAGACTATGTGAATATTTTTAGAAGCCACGCCCTCTCGCCCTGGCCAGATAAATAATTTCCAATGCCAGATGTGCTCTTTGCAAATCAACATCAGGCTGAGAAGAGGGGAGGAATGAGCTACACAGCTCACACCAAACTACAGTGACATGCGACAAGTTTAAACCAGTAGCATTTTTACAGGCCTCCCATCCTTGGAATACGGAAGATGGAACCACAGCTAGAGAGGCAGCAGAGGGGGCTCCAAGAGGGACCTGGCTACTCATAACCCGTTGCTTTCTCTGCCCGACCCTGGAGCCAGACGCTGATGCCACAGGCTCTCCTGAACATGGAGACCGGCGTCTGGCCATGTGTCCGCTGCCTTTGCCACCAGTGCCCTTTCTAAATATGTTTCCAGCAAAATGCTGAGTCAGGAAGAGCCGGGCAGACATAGCCGGAAGACAAATCAACGCCAGCTGAAATGCATTTTTTTAAAAAATCCTGGAAGTGCGTGTGAGATGATGAAAGAGAATTTGCCCAGAAGTCAAACATGGGAGTTCTCCTGGCTGTCATCCCTTCACCCCAAACCCAAACAACTTAAGAGTACCTACTGTGTGGCAAGCACTGGGCCACACTCCAAGGAAACAGAGACACAGTAAGCCCACACTGATTCCCTGCGCATGACCTTGGGCCTGTCACCTAGACCTACAGGGCCTTCATCATTTGAACAAGGGGGCTGGAAAATGACCCTCAATGTTCATCAGGCTCTAGGATTCTCAGATCCTAGCAGCATCCCTTGAACAAGCAAAAGGAAGAACCCGTGTTGGGGAATGGGAAGGTTTGGTTTCTGTGTGCACACACGTGTGCGTTTTACCTTGGGAAATGCCAGAAGAAGAGATTCTTAAGGAAAAGACAAGGAGAAGAAAAAAAAAAAACCATGAGTGAAAGTTCAATTTTTATAATGTTCTGTGTGTCTGCTATTCACCTATACAACGGACAGGGAGCGCAGGTGGACGTGGTCCTGGGAGCTGGGAGGCCCAACACCACTGCCCCATTGCTCATTCAAATGCGCCATTCCCCAGGGCTCCTGCGGCATTGTTCCCAGCACAATTGCTTTCAGAATTCTAACTATTCTTCTCCTCCATTGGGAAATTCTATGACTCCATAGGAAGCTATGTGCCTTATCACTTCTGGGACTACATCATGGGACCAAGAGGTCACACTGTCCCACAGAACCCAATCCCCAAGCCAGAGGCTCACATTCCAGGCCTTGTAAAGACTACATTTCGTTTGTAGAGCTCCGGAGGCAGGTGGCAGAAAGAATCTGCAGAGAAAGTTACCAGGGTGGATGACACAAACCCTTAGAAATGTGCCCCTCAGACCAGCATCCAGTTCTCTAGCTGTGGCCTGGCCACCACTCCCGAGGACCCAGGCACCTTCACGGCAGCTGACTCCCCTGTTCAAAGTCCTCTCTGGTGACCAACTATTGGCACAGGTGCCTTGGATACTGAGAGTTGAGTGCTAAGTGCTCCGTGTACTAAAATCCTCACATTTGCCCTTGATTCCCTAGGCACCCCGGGCACAGGGCACGCACACATAACTGCTCAGGAAATACTCACTGAGAAAATGGACGAACAGACAACCACCCCCAGAGTTAGGACTGGCATCCCTACTGGACACACCAGAAAACTGAGACTTGGGGGATTCATTTCTCCAAAACACTGCCATTAGTCAGGGACAGAGTCGCGATTCAAATTCAAATCGCAGGCTACCCAACTCCAAAGCCACCGCTCTTGATCTTGACTCACTGCCCAGTGCTCAGCAGTGTATGAAGCTAAACACAGGGGTATCTTGTTTAGTCCTGAACACAAGCCTGTGAGCGTCACTGTTAGCCCACTTCATAGTCGCAGAAACAGGATGAAGTGGGTTTCCCCATGGCAAGCAGCTAGGAAGCCACACAGGAGGGAATTTTCTGCCTGGACAGCCAGTGCTCCTGCTAGAATAATCCAGAAAGGGAGAGACCTTGAGATCTCACTTCCCGATCCTGGGAAAAACTGCTTTGACCAACTGCTTCCTCCGTATTCTATGGACTAACACAGAAAGAGGTCAACGACTCGCAAAAACAAGAGGTCATCCTAACGTGACTTCGAGGATCCTCTCAAAGGACTATGGTAACTAATGGTGGGGCCGCCATGATCCGCAAACAGTGTTAATCCAAACTCGGAGCAAGGCAACAGTCTCCCTGTGATGCACCCCACCCCCTCCACTGAGCGCAAGAGCAACCAGGAAAGGGGGCGACGCAAGGTCGTTCCCATGCTTTGTCCGGGGACCAGGGATGAGGCACTAACGTCACCGGCGGCCAATTAGAGGGATCCCCTGGTGTCGGGAGTACTGAGGCCATTTCATAATGAAACCCATGCAGCGAGCTCCGTTTATTTTGAAACCGTATTTGCTTATTTTGCAGCCGTGATCAAAAGGACGTTGCGAATGCTCCACAGGAGGCGCTTGAACCCCGTGGGCCAGGAGAGCTTGCTTCAACTGCAGCGGCAGCCAGCAAAAACACTCTCCGTGGCAGTAAACCCCCTCACTGGACGGTCTGCTCCTTTCCCAGCAGCACATACCACCATAGCCCGCTGCCCAGTTCCACAGCTGGTTCGGGGGCTGGGAGGGTCGGGAGAGAGAAGGAGAAGGCATGGCATGGCAGGGACAGGAGGCTGGCAGGGAGAGAATTCCAACTCTTACATAACCTGGGGCCCTGCTGGCAACTCAAGCCCTCGGGAGTCAGACACACACAGGCTCAAACCCCAACTCCACTTACTTACCACTGTGTTACCTCGGGTTGATTACTTAACTTCTCTGTGCCTCGCTTTCCCTATCTGTGAAATGATGTCAGTAACGGCACCCACCTCATAGGGTTGTGAAAATTAAAGGTAAGCAATAGGAGGAAAACATGACAGGACATACACACACAATATGTTACGGTCGTAGGTGTCTTTACAGTGACGATTGCAGACTATGAGCTTCCTGAGGACAGGGACTGTATTTTAATCATCTTTTTCTCCCAGCATGAAGATCGAGGTCTGGCATGTAGTTGGAGATCGATAAATGCTGGTCGAATTGAAGGGTTGGAACAGAACTGAGGTGACTCCCCGCACCCACCGGCCAGGGCAGGACGCAGCCGCCTGGCTCCGAGGCTGCAGCCTGGGGCACCTTGAGCACCCCCCTTCCCCACCCTGCGTATCAATCCACCAGGCAAGAGCTTTACCTTAATATTGCAGTTGTCATCCAGCAGGATGTTTTCCAGCTTCAAGTCCCGGTGGACCACGCCGTTCTGCAATGAGAAGACAGGCGCAGACGTGAATGGGGCGGCCAGCACGAGAGACAGAAAGAGGGAGCAGGAGGGTGAGCAAAGGGAGACATTTGACAGATGAAAGAAATGCGCCAGCCCCGGTGGTCTTTGCCTCCATCCTTCAGGGCTTCTCTTACTGTCATGAGGCCCCCGCCAGCCAGCGACCAGCGACAGGAGAGCATTAGTCACTTGCTGGGCGGTGAAGGGAAAAATGACTGGAATCCATTCTCCCCCAGAGCCTGTAAAACAGCAGGGGGATTCTTGGTCGGAATGTAATTCCACTGTGTGAAAGCAATAGAGTCGCGGGCGGCGAACAATGTCTGTCTGTGCTGGGCTTCTCAGGGAAGAAGCAGATTTCTCTGCTGGAGACTCAGAATGTGGGGCTCACGGGCCTCGCTTGTCTGTCTGTCTGTCTGCGGGCCTGCCCCTCTCCCCCAGGATAGCAGAAGCCCCCCCACGGGCATTTCCTGAGCGGCTGGGAGGGAAGATCTGCAAGACCCTCTGGGCTCAGCTAGACTCAAGGGCGAAGGGTGAAGGTGGGAGGGGCCCAGGAGACCCTAGCCACTGGGCTGACCCAAGCAGGTCGCTGCCCTACCGTGCGACCTTTCCGTTCAAGCAAACTCTGGCAAGGCTGGAAGCTGGCCTGCACTGACGGGCAGACAGCCCCGCTGAGGCTGAAAAGGAGTCATTAACCAATAGGCTGCTGGTCTATCCCGCAGTAACACCTGATACGCACAGTCCTTTGTAAAGCCCAGTAATCTTTTAATGGGATGAGGGGAGGGCATGGGCAGAGGTGGAACAGAAAGAACCAGCTACTTTGGGCTGGGCGGACAAATAGCAAGGAGTAAGTTTTTCATATCGTTCAGCATAAAGGACATTTGCGATTGAAGCTCCTCTTTTAAGCAAACCAACTGGCTAGAACATCTCTGTCTTTCGATCAAGATTTCTTTAGTTCAGAATCGGCATGTTTATTACAGTTGGTGCTTTATTGTTTATTTTCCTTTCCATTTGACAGTCCCTACTACCTCCAAAAGCACGGGCTGAGGAGATAAAAGCTATATTTCTACTCCTCTTTTTCTAATGCAAACCTTCCAGGATGTGTTTTGACTTCAGAAAGGCACAAACCAAGGCTCCCGGAGGAAAGATACAGAATCTAAGGTCCCGATTTTTTTCTCGTTTTAAAGACTGGGAGCAGTTTTGGTTTATATTATTGCATTCCTAGTTTTCAGAGTAAGATGGAATGAGTCTGACAAAGCGCCATTCATACAAAATCTCAAGTACTCACACATCTCAAATAATGAAAATATGATCTGTAGTCCTTTATGATGATGCCTGATGATAAAGTACAAAATACTGTATGATCTGAGTAATCAGTGCCTTTTGAGTCCGCAAAGAGAAGTCCAAGAGTGTTCGCATGGGTTAAAGGTTTTAGATTTGAATAATATCTTCTAGTTACTTACGGAGCCGCTCTCAATTAACCGGAATATTTAACAAACCAGAAGGCCCCGTGTTGCAATCATTTGAACGAAGAAGCTGACTCCATTTTGGATGTCATGTTCGACTCAAGTCACTACTGTCCTCAAAGTGAAAGACTGTTCCAGGTGCGACCATTCTGGGGAAAAGTGCGAATACAGTGGGAATCACGACTAACATGATTAATAATGATGAAGGCTGAAATACGTCTTGGAAGTAGCTGTGTACTTCATTTCCTTCTCCAGAGACAAAGGGTGGCTAACCTGACTATATTGGGAGCACAACCCATTAGGTGCGTTGCAATAAAATGTATGTGTAGGTACGTGACCTATGTGGATATGACCTATTCAAGGAAAGATACTGAGAGCACAGGAAAGTTCACAGCCAGTAACTTCACTTCTGGATTTTCCCTCAGGTGAATCATTCAAATGAGAGGAAAAGGTTAATATATAAAGATGTGGATCCCTATATATATTAACCAGAAATAGTAACCAGCCTTAAATGTCCAACAATCACAATAATTACAGAGAATTTTTAGTAACATAGGAACATGTTCTGATTAAAATACTAAGCGGCAAGGCAAGACACAAATGTAAAAATACACGCACTGTTGTACTCCGAATCCTGAAAAGGAGGAATAAGGTCATTGGCGGAGAAACTAGGGAAATCTGAATAAAATCTGGAGTTTTGTTAATAACAGCGCCCAAATGTTGGTGTCTTGGTTTCAACAAATGTACTGATAGTAACATAAGCTCTTCCCATTAGGATAAAGTGAGGGAAGGGCATACGGGAATTCTCTGTACCAGTTCGGAAACTTCACTGTACATCTAAAATCATTCAAAATAAGAAGTTCAAATAAAAAAAAATGTTAGGAGTAGGAGGAAGAAGATGGGAAAGAAACGAACAAAAATGTCAATCATGGGTTATGCCTGGATTCTGGAATTTTGGGTGATGGTGATTTTCTTCTATTTCATAAATTCTCCATGCAGATGACAATAAACAGGTATCGCCTGCATACTGTGAAAACATTCACATGAGCATCAAAACCGTCGGTGCCCCGAGCTCTGGCGGGGCTCGGCCATACCTTGTGACAATAGTGCACAGCAGAGACAATCTGCCGGAAGAAGTGTCTGGTCTCCCTCTCGCTGAGGCGTCTCCGCTCACTGATGTAATCATATAGCTCGCCCTTGCTTGCGTACTCCATGATGATCACAATCTTATCTTTGTTCTCAAACACTGCGGGGGGGACAGCAACACACAAACACCCTGTTTATCCAACAAGCTCACTTATGACTCCAGAGGGTGCGAGGGAGGACAACGGAGATGTCACTGAGCAGGGGGCCAAGAGCGACCGGTCAGGACACAAGTCAGGCCGTTCCACGTCACGAGGAGCTGGGCGAGAGTGTTCTGGCCAGGTGGACAATGATATCACCGCTCTTGTGACCGGACACACCTCTGCAACCTGAAGGGAAAGGTGCCTCTCTTTTCTGAGGGCCCCCCCCTGCCCTTCACCAGGCTTGTTCTCCAAAGCCCTGCCCACCAGAACGCCGCCCCCAGCCACAGGACAGTGCAGGATAACACCTACCTTCTATGAACCATTCGATACGGACCTCACAAGCTACTCTGAACCCAAAAATGGGTAGCTGGACTTGTCACCTCTTTGCTCAAAACCTTCTAGACTTTGCATCTCACTCAAAATAAAACCCGGTGTTCCAAATTGGCCCAGCAGGTCCTGTGTGATCCCGTGGATCCATCCTAGCCCGATTCTGTGTATTCTGTGTATTAATTTAGTTCTTCTTGCTTACTAGAGTGTAAATGAAAGTTGGTCTATTTCATTCACGGATGCCTCCCCAGCACTCAGAACGCTGACCGAGGGGTTCAAGTCACAATTATCAAATGAGTGAACTCAAAACTTCCTAAGTACATTCGGACAATTACAGGAAATAATTACTATGTGCCAGGCCCCTGTAAGGTTTTGAGTACCTGACATGTACTGACTCATTTAGATCTTGCAACAAACTTTCAGGGAAATACCACTAATTTTACCACTAGTAAAATGGGGACACTGAAGCCTGGAGAAGTTAAGAGACTTGCACAGTGTGGCTGAGCCCTCCAGACTGGACGGGGCTCATCTCTGGCTTCCAGCGTGGATGGGGACCTGTGATGCCACAGCCTGGTGGCATGTGAGGACCACTGCAATCACCCCAAGCTGGGCTCCCTGCCTCGGCCCCTTCCCACGCAACCCCCACACCACCATGGAAATTGTTTTCCCAAATGCTTGTAAATCCTTCTCTCTCACCGACTCTGACACTCTAGCCGTGATGCTCACATTCGGCTGGACTAAGTCCATGGGAGGAAGAGCCAGGCAGATGCCATTAGGGGCGGGTTCGGGGAGGCCACGGAGCACAGGTGCTAGCTAGGTCCTCAGCATCCCTTCCACCAAAGCCACCCCATTGCTATCCGTTTCCTACTTTGGGCTTTCACATTAGATGTCGTTTGAGCAAAGAGAAAATAAATAATTATTTTGAAACCCATCCCTCCCAAGGGACATGGCATGAAAACCTTTGTAGGATATCCAAGATCCGTCCTAAAGAATCCCTGCCTAATATTATGCAGCCATCAAAAGGAAGGAGATCTTGCCATTTGCAACGACGTGGATGGAACTGGAGGGTGTTATGCTGAGTGAAATAAGCCAATCAGAGAAAGACATGTATCATATGACCTCACTGATATGAGGAATTCTTAATCTCAGGAAACAAACTGAGGGTTGCTAGAGTGGTGGGGGGTGGGAGGGATGGGGTGGCTGGGTGATAGACATTGGGGAGGGTATGTGCTATGGTGAGCGCTGTGAATTGTGCAAGACTGTTGAATCACAGACCTGTACCTCTGAAACAAATAATGCAATATATGTTAAGAAAAAAAAAAAAGAAGAAGATAGCAGGAGGGGAAGAATGAAGGGGGGGAAATCGGAGGGGGAGACGAACCATGAGAGATGATGGACTCTGAAAAATAAACTGAGGGTTCTAGAGGGGAGGGGGGTGGGGGGATGGGTTAGCCTGGTGATGGTATTAAAGAGGGCACGTTCTCCGTGGAGCACTGGGTGTTATGCACAAACAATGAATCATGGAACACTACATCAAAAAGTAATGATGTAATGTATGGTGATTAACATAACAATAAAAAAATTTAAAGGGAAAAAAATAAAGTATCTCTGGTGTCTTCCACAAAAAAAAAAAAAAAAGAATCCCTGCCTACATCCCTCTGTCTCATCAGCTTCCACTGTCCTCCATCAGGCCCCCGATGTCCACTAATGCTGGACCATTTGCTGTTTCTCACAGTCTCTCTCTCTGTCTCCCTGTCTCTGTCTCTGTCTCTCTCTCTCTCTCTCTGTCTCTCTGTCTCTCTCTCTCTCACACACACACACACACACACACACACACACACTGCTGTTTCCCACCTCCTCCCCTCTGCCTTTACTACCTGCCTTACCTGTGGGGGAAATTCCAACCTGTCAAGATTAAACTCAAATATGGCTTCTATTTTGCCTCCCTCTGCCTCACACTGTGCTACTCAATACTTGTATGATAGCCCTTTCAAACTGCATGGATTTATTTGCTGGTTTACATATCCATTCCTCTGCCTGGACTGTGAGTCTGGACTTTTACATGTAGAAAGTTTAGTTTTAGAATCAGACCCTCCTAAGTAGGATTCCTGGATCTGCCTCTTACTTGCTGTGTGACTCTGGGGGAGTTGCTTGCCCTCTCTGTGCCTCAGTTTCGTCAACTGTAAAATGTAAATAATACTAGTAAGTACTTCTTAGAACTGCTGGGAGTGTTTATTGATATTGGGTGTGTTAAATGCTTAGAACAAGGGCCTACACTTACGGCATGCACCCAGTGACATTAGCTATTATTGTTACTATTGATATTATTGGACCCCAGGGACTTAGCACTGAGCCAGACTCCTAGACACACTCAGTGAGAATGGAATTGAACTGGAACACGCCCAGGCCTGGGTCCTCTGTCCTCCCACACCTTGTCACTGGCTGTTAGAAGCTCAAGCCCCTCCAGTTCCTCCTTGGCTCCTTCAGGTCCAGCCAAACCTCTCTGATAAAGGGAAGGGGGAAGGAGAGTAGGAAAGAGAACGGCCAGATAAAATTGGCTGCTCCTGCGTCTGCTGGCTTCGGTGTACCCCGCAGCTTTGGCTCTTGCCGGGGATTTCAGCCTGTTGTGCCCTTCTCATTAACAATAAACTTTGGAAACTGCAAAACCGCCTCGGGGTGCATGGCTCAGGCTCTGAAAATGAGGGAGTGCTAGGCCCGGGAGAGGGCAGCGGGCTTTCTAATTTTAAAAAGTGGGGGAGGAAGAAAGAGAGAAAGGACTTTGACAGAGAAATAAACGAGGAGGTTCACACCCCCAAAAGGTCTGATGTGTCCCTAAAGGAGGCCAAAGTCACCGGTCCCTTCAGTGACTATCAGAAAGTACGGGTCTCTGGTCTCAGGCAGACAAAAGGACTGTTTCGGTGACAGGAGTCCTCCCTTTCCAACTGGCCCGCCTGGTATCAAGCAGAGATAAACACGATTCGTCTCAAGACCAAATATTTTACTACGTGAGGAGCCTCCATCAGTGAGTCCAGCTAGACCCACCTCTAAAATAAATACATCCTGATTCTGTGCTCGAGTCTGATGTCCCCGCGCACCCCTTGCTCTGAATCTCCATCCTCGCTGGTTTCCTGCCTTTTCTCTCTTGCCCCTCAGCTGACTTTCTGTATTCAGAGGGGGCTGGGGAACAGTTCCAGATGCGCGTGCCGTGGAGCATGGGTCCTGCAAGATATTCTGGAGGAAAAAAAGTGCCTGTGATCAAGCATCAGCCAAACGTTTTTTGGACAATGCTAATACCTGATTGCCCTTGGACGGTCTGGTTTCTTTGACTCTGAGTTTTGCAGGTTGATTTGGCCATTTCAACATCCTTCCTGACATCCAGAGGAACTAACGGGGAGCCAATCTGGTAAACAATGGGTGGAGATGATAGGCGGGGCTCACGGGCAGCCAGGTGAGAGACCTGTCAAGTGGTCACGTGGGGCTCTGGGACCCCACCCCCACCCTTCCCACAGGAAGCAGCATAGCCACTCCTCACAGTCAAGGCCCTCATTGTAACCCTCGATTAACTAAATGCAAATAGCAGTTCTAGACTTAGTACATCAATGATTCATCAAGGAGGCCCCATGGTGTTAGGTATGAAGCTTCCAGTCCTTCCTGATAACAGTGACACTTACTGAAGGCCTACTATGTGCAGACTCTGAGCTAATAAGCACTTTGCATGAATTATGTCTTATGGCTTTGTTCCTATGAGTCTCCTCACTGTACAGGTGAGAAATTCTGAGTACAACCAGGTTAGTGACCACCATGGCCACAGAGCGAGTCCAAGGCGGAACCAGGCCTAGGGCCACAGTCCGACCACACATGCCACTCTCCTAGCCACTACACCATTTTACATATACGTGACCCCCCGGAACCTCGGTCTCCTCATCAGTCAGATGCAGGGCCCTCGGTGAGCTCACGGGTCCTGCTCTTTCAGGATGGTGCCTTCACCAGTGCTCAATAAAGGGGAGCTATCCTCAGAATTACTCATCTGCCTCTTAGCCAGCTTCTGTAAAACAAAACCCTAAGACTTTTCTCTCCCTACTGCCATCACTCTTTAAACCGTGTTATGGCTGGAACACCTGGGTGGCTCAGTCAGTTAAGTGTCTGACTCTTGGTTTCAGCTCAGGTGGTGATCTCAGGGTGGTGGGTGAGCCTGGCTCGGTGCTCAGCACGGAGTCTGCTTGGGTTTCTCTCTCTCTCCCTCTCCTTCTGCCCCTCCTCCCTGCCCCGCATGCACGTGCTCTCTCTCTAATAAATAAATAAATCAAAAAAAAAAAAAAAGAATGCCTACTTCTGAGAAACACTTGCACATTTAAAAAAATAAAAATAAATTAAAAAAAATAAAATATGGTGTGGCTGCCTCAGAATCACAAAATTTTTGAGCAGGAAGGGCCTTAGAGACCAACTATTATTTTTCTAGAATAGCCAAGGATTTCTAATGTATAAGAGCAAGGCCTTGGGAATTTCTCCTGAAGAATGACCAGCTTCCGCACTCCTGGCCCAAGGCTCCTTGCCCACGCTAAGGTCACTATCAGTGAGGTGATAGGAACCCTCTTGGCCATTCTTCTGGCAAAAGGGGCCGCTTCCCTTGGGC